GGTTAAAGAATCAAGAATCACACCTGGCCCGACTAATAACAATGTCCTGCTTGAATAAGTGTAATATCATTTATACTTTCATGCTTGTATTGCTTGATATAGGTTGATAAGTAGAATGACACATTATTGAAATCAATAAAGGTTTTTCAGAACTTGCAATTTATTTTATGGTACCACTGGGAGGTTGTGCAGGGCCCAGAGTAAAACTTTTCCAGGGGAACCATATGACATCATTAAGTTTTGCCAGGGGTCCCTATGACATCATAATTATTAAGTGGGAGAAGAGGTGTTTTACAATATATTACACTTTACTGCATATTATCTGGCACTGACACAACTCTTTGTGCTTTGGGGACCCCTTTTGAGCTGGGCTTTTGCCTGCATCCCTACTTTTGGCGGTCCTGAAATTGTTTAAGATGTATGAAGTTATATGATAGTTTACTAATAAACCTAAAATATGGTTTTAGTAGTCATATTCTGAAAAAGTAAAGTTGTTTTTGTTGAGAATTGGACTTCAAATACAATTGTTAATTGTTGCACACTCAATTGTCCATTACAAGAATGGTCATCTGATATCTATATATAGTACTACCTGAAAAAAAAACAAGCAGAAATTTGATGTTTCGAGTGAATGCCCTTTGTCAAGAGTTAGTAGCCAATGTCGAGTTTCTGCTTGTTTTTGTCAGGTAGTATTACTATATAACCACTCAGCACAGCAAGACTGTGGAATAGTTGACAATAATTTATTTACCAGTTTTAGTGGAACCATTGTATAAATTGTGTAGACGGTTTCATATTATTACATACCGTATGCAGTACATACTGCTATTGTTAAAGACCATGTAAAGTCTGTTCTGCGCATGCATTCTGCAGGCCTACATTCCAATGATCGGGAACCGACCATTGGAATGTTATTAATATTTTGCACCTTCCAAACTTTCTAGAATTGAATCTCTGGTCTGTATTCATTTACAAACATAGCAAACCAGAATTAAAATTCAGCATAATATATATATGATATATATCCAGTGCTGTAACAGTTACAGTTTATTTGTAACTAGTTACAGTTACAGTGACATTACCAAAAACAAAACTAGTTACCGATACAAGTTACAGACGCCAAATTGTAACTAGTTACAGTTACAAAGTTACAATATATATTTTGTAACTTAGTTACAAAGTTACAAGTTACATTTATTGATTGCAATTAAGAATGCATACAATTCGAATAGGCCGAATGGTAATGAAACTTGTGGCAAAATTGTTGGCAAAATTTATAACTATTTACTAGCTTGTATCTGCATGCATCTGTAAAATTCCACCAAATCGATTTTTTAATAGAATTGTAAATTGAAAAACTCTGCTATTATACAGTCTGAATGAATAGATTAAAAAAAAATCAAATATCCCTCACTGGCTAGTGGCTTCTCACTTCGAAATGAAAAAGCAGAAACGTGAATACATGCATGATCATGACTGGGCCAAGGCCAAGTGAAATGAGGCCAAAGACCAAATATGACAAGGCCAAGGCCCAAGTGAAGGCGAGCGACAGCATTCCAATCAGTTCCAACTGTACGTAAATTTGACGTCAATCCTTGACTTAATTTTGTGTCTTGAACGGATTCTTTTGTGTCAGATTAAATTATTCCTGTGCAGATGATTAAAAGCTTGCCTCACTGTGTATTGATTGATTTCATTTTAAAAACGTACACAAATAGCAACGAACAAAATGTAACTTGTAACTTTGGCAAAATAACTTGTAATCGTTTCAATTTTATGGCATTTTTTGTAACTAGTTACCGTTACAGTTACATGTTCTCAAAATGTAACAAGTTACCGTTACCGTTACTGAAAAATGTAACGATTACTTGTAACTAGTTACTTTTAACGAAGTTACTTACAGCACTGTATATATCTAATATAGCACTGGGTTCAGAATGTAAACAAAGGGTTTGTTTACATAATTACATACTTTACATGGCCTTTAATGAAACCTTTTTTGGCTACTAACACCAATGTTTCTGACAGAGTTGTACAGGTAATCCTGTAAACAGAAACAATATATTATATCATCAAACAATTCTATCAAACAAGTTGCAAAAGAATCCAAATGCTGTTTCAGCTGTTTAATTGTCACATTCAAACCATGATGATTCATACATTTACAGTTCAATTAAAAAATCCCAAATCTTGTATAAACACAGTCCTAGCATACGTGTACGCTTGTAAGTCTTGTACGCTTGAATTTCTTTTCAATAATAACACTCCAATATAGTAGATCAAGGACATATGCCATCATTCCCATCAATACTCACTCAGAGTAAACCAAGAGTATGAATTATTGCCATAACGAAGCCTGTTATTTTGCCCAAATGAATTCAAGAAAGCATAAGTCAACTCCTTAATCCCTTCACCACTTTTTCGGACGAAAAGCAACAAAAAATTCGTCGAAATAAGCAAATTTTCAGGCAAAATATTAGCAAATATATCGTATTCACTCATATTGTTAGGTTAAATGATGGTATTCGCTCGAGAATCATGCAGCTCGTTCCCAGTCGCTCGCGTTGGATCATGGGAATGGGTTAGGTTTCCGAGCGACTGGGAAATCCTGTATTCAAGATGGCGTCCATACATAATGGCGGACGCTATATCCAAGGAGCGAAAAACTTCTCGAAGGCGTTTCATGGTGCATAAAGTTGTCTATCCAGTTAGAATGTGTGGGAAATGTGTTATTTTTTTAAGAAAATGGATTACCGCAACATTTTCGTGTGACTCATAAGAAAAATATCACGTTGCAAGATATTAATTTAAAAATTTGACATTGACATTGAAACGCATGTATTGTATGGCGAAGAAACGTTGTGATATATTCAATATCAGCATGAGAAAAAATCAAAGGCGAGTTAATATCATGAATAATTTCTTTTACAGTTGAGAATGCTTGTTTAGCAAATTTTTGCGTCCTTAATAATATTTTTGTGCGGGGGATAAAAATCATAAAATATGCACATATTTTAATATTTGTTGATTTACAACTATTAGGTATTGAGTGGATGTTGGTTCAAAGTTTCCAGGGAAGATGTTAATGTATTTGCTGAAGATGCAAGGAAAGCTTCCAAAATTTACGGAGTAATAAATTCTTGGAAATGCAGACCAAAATAATCTATGCAAAATATCAGTTGGTATACCAAACAAACAATGGATGCAACACATGGAAACATTGAAGGGAACATTATTGTGGTTGAATGCTCTTTTACAAAGATAAACTTAAATCGAGACATAAATATGAACCTAGAATAGCTCAAATTTGTTACAGCTTGCCCCCCCCTGAATATAACCCCCACTCATTGTCTTTATTTGTTATTAATACATGTTTATTTTCCTGTTTATGACTGACTTGTTTATTATATACTAACACAAGACTGAAAAGAGCACCCATGTACTGTATAAGCCCATCAAAAATTGCTTAAAAAAGAATATAAGGCAAGGGCTTATAGTCAGAGGTTATTCTTGGTATTCTTGACTTGCAACCAACCCTTGAGAGTTAGAAGACAATTAACAGCTGCCATTTTGGTGCCAAATTCAATGAAAGATAACGAGATCCTTTTGAAAAAATGGCACCAACATGATTCAGCCCATATAGCTACAAGTCAAGAATAGCACTCTCCTTCTTTTACAGTACATTTCTCTGGCTAGCAGTGGCTTATATAACTTTAGCCATAGCTTTGTTATTAGCCTGCCTCACACACATCCTTATGGCTCTGAGCCATTTGAGGATGTCTGTGAGGCAGGCTACTTTGTTATCAGTGTGATAGTCTATGTTCAACCATAATGTTAATAAGAGGAATATAGACTTTTGTGTGGATTTGTATGACAAACAAAAACATAGCCATTAGACACAGGGAAGGATTTACTGGGGGAGTGGGGGTGCATCCCCCTACCCTGGCCAGAGGGGGGGGGGGGCGTGCTATTTTTCATGATAAAGGGGAAAAATATTAGAGACAAAATGAGATACAGTAATTTGAGCAATAACATGATGATAAGTGAACTGTGCACAACAATTCAAATACAGTAGTGAAGCAAGACTTTGCAGTAGTGAAGCAAGTTGATGGGCTGGCGGCACACATGACAGACACAACTCAGCACCAGAGCTGGTAGAGCACCCCCCCCCCCCTACTAAATCATGCTGGATCCATCCTTGATTAGACATAGTTTAAAACCTCCTTGCTTCAAGAGGATAAACCATGAAAAAATGTTATGTTTTGTTATGGGGAGGGGGGGGAGGTTACTAAAAGAGGATGTGTTAATTAAAGAGGGGCGTGATAAGAAAACCATCGTAGAAATTACAGAACAAGTGGTTTTTAATTAATTAAACTACAAGTCCAAATGTCAAATTTTGCTCTCTGAAAGAGGTTATTAGCAGTCTGTAATAGGGGGAATATTTATAAAATAGGAGATATAATACAGACCCTTTCCGAACTATGTTAGACAGAGTAAATTACTACCAGATAAGTTTATCAAATAACTTTTTTTATTAGTCAATGCAGTACACTGTTTAAATACTGGTCAATGCACAATTTGTATCTTGTTTTTGCATTGTTGGTATTTGTTGCAATTAATGCCAATGACACAATTAAAGAAAGTATAACATTTAACAGCAAGAATCTGGTGTAGCTCTATAATAGATTGATTTATTTAGTTTGCAACAATATATACAGCATTTTTTTAACCTACCATTGTATTATATTTTATTTATGTGTTAGAAACTGAATAAATATTTATTAAATATAATTTTATTTTTCTATAAACATGTAGTACTTCCAAAGTGTACCAGTTGAACAAGACACCCAGCCATTAATACACGAAAGCAACAGCCATCAAGTTACCAATTACGATGTATATACTCAGCTAGCTTTAATACCAGATATATCGCCACAGGCATATTTATATGTGGATAGGATAGTTTCCCATATTTCATTGAG